GCTTCACTTTGTTGAATACACTTCTCTCTTTACTACTCTGGACTGTGCAGTGTTTTTCAGCCTTGGTCCTTAAGCACATTCCTGCCGGCTCTTGTTATGAGGAGCCATGTTCCAGCTTTGCCTGGAAATACAGGGGTTGGGAGGACCTGGATGCGGCTCCTGGGCCCGGGGCCTGCACGAGAGGCTGTTCTGCCCCAAAGCGCCTGGTCTATCAACCCAGAGCAGCTAATCATGGAAGCAGCCCCACAGAGGTGTGTGCCCCTGCTCTGCAGCCTCTGAATTTCCAACATTACATGAAAAATTAGTGGGGAAATTTTATCTTATTCCCTTGTTAAAAATATGCTGTTACTGAGTTAAACTGTTTAAAATCCACCGATATAATACCAGTTTGCCATTTCATCTCAGAGAATTCTTGTTTCCTTGCTGAAAATTTCCCCATACTCCCTGAAGACAATCAACTCCTTGATGCATTATCAATCAGTCTTATCTGTTTCCTGGTTCAATATGCAGAAACAGCCTGACCAAATTTCTTGAGGAAAAAACATATGTCATTATCCCATTAATTATTATAAAATGTAGGAAGCTAGCCTGAGAAGTGGGCAAAGCTCATACTCCTTTACCCTCTCCCCTGGCTCTGAATGCCCTGTCCAACCCAAGTACCAAAAAGGTGTAAAGTGGGTCTATACCAGCCTGGGCCAGCTGCTCAGAGGCAGCAGATCCAGGAGAAAAAGGGCACCACATCCTTGACTTCAGATATGTAGGGACAATGGTAGAGCCACAGGGCATAAATTAATCCAGAAACAGTATCCTGGAGTCCAGGCAGGAGAGGATGGAGGTGAACAGAGGGAGAACCAGGAGGACAGAACCCCTCTTTGGTCAGTAACTACTGTTGTAGAAACGAATGGAATATTTAATAAGAGTCAGGAGGAAAGAAGGAATCAGATAAGCGACTTGGCAGCTCTGGAGAGAGCTTATGGAGACTGATGCCCAATAGCCATGAAAGACAGCTCTGTTTTTTTTTTTAAGTTGAGCTAAAATTAACATAACAAAAAGGTTATCATTTTAACCATTATAAAGTGTACAATTCAGTGGTCTCTAGTATATTCACAATGTTATGCAACTGTCACCACTACCTAATTCCAGAACATTTCTCTCACCTCCAAAAGAAACCCTACACCTACTGACCCCATGCCCTAGATCTGCGGCTCCTAGCAACCACTAATCTACTTTGTCTCTATAGATTTCCCTATTTGGGACATTTCATACAAATATAATCATATAGTATGTGGCCTTCTGTGTATGACTTCTTTTATTTAGCATAATGTTTTAATCCATGTCATAGTATGTATCAGTACTTCATTCCTTTTCATGGCTGAATCATATTCTACTGTCTATTCTTAAATACACAACATATATTTCTGAAACCCACTAGCACAGCAGAAAGCAAGAGCTACACTCAGTTCTCAGTGGTGTGGGTGCTCCCTGAGAACTGATGGAATGAAGCTGACAATACTTTTCACGATACTGTTCATAGTTTTAACTTTGATGATCCTGGATCAAGCCCTTCGGCTGTCAATTCACAGCAATTCTGTGAGTAACTTGGGACGACCAAAATCTTGCGTTTAAACATCAGGAGCCAACCTAAGCAGCATGTTGCACAAAAAAGCCTTTATTAACAAAGCCAGGGAAATACTGGCCCAGGCTCAGAAAGGAGACTGGCAGGAAGAGGCAGGAAAAGAAACAAATCATGCTGAATGAGGCTGTTCCTGCTTGAGATCCTGTTAAAACTACTAGGTGACTTTGGAGAGTTACATGAAGCTGAAAAGCTGCTTATCCAGACGATTGATCAATTCAGCAATAATTAAAATCCTTGTGTGGCGGAGTGGGTTTATCCTGTCCACCAGTTCTCACGGGAAAGGCCAATCTGTCCAGCCCCACGTATCCATTAAGCAAACGAAGGGTGCAGCCTGCATCCGCAAGATAAGTGCTATGTGCTTTCCAAAGGCCAACACTGAGGTGTCTAATATGGTTTCTTACTAAGTCAACAGGAAGATGATAAAGGCAGCAAAGGTCTATGAATAGAGCCGCATTGTGATCAAGTATGACACCTGGTGGCTGACGAAGAAGAGAAATAAATACCTTCACTCTTCAAAGATGTCACATCATAAAATGCAACAGAAAATAACGAGATGCCATTTTTTGACCCTCAAATTAGTAAATTATTTTTTTCTTAGATCGTGATATGTGTCAGGGAGGATTCTGGAGAAGAATAAAGGTGATAAACTGGTACCACCTTTCTACAGGGTAAGTAAACTCTGCTAACAAAAACCTAAAACCTAGAACTTCACATTCCCTTTAAGGCAGTAATTCCGCTGCTAAGCTTATCTTAATGAAGTTATCACAGATGTGTGCCAAGATTTAACTCCGAATATGTTCATCATGGAACTGCTTATAATAGCAAGAAATGCAAAACTATGTAAACATTCAGAAATAGAACAGTAGTTCATAAATTAGGATGCATCCATATATTTAAATATCTTTTGCTACATATTAACAGGGAAAGAGGTACATCATTTATTGTTTAAAAGAAACGAACACATTTAAAACAAATATTTCGGTTTATAAGGAAAAAAGAGTCCCCTACAAAAATATACCAAGCCGTAAGCAAGGCAATCTCTGAGGGAGTACAATTATGGTGGAACTTTCATTTTCTACCTAGTTCCTTCTGTGTTGAAAAAAAATTGAACCAATCTTTTTTTTTTTTTTTTTTTTTTGCGGTACGCGGGCCTCTCACTGGTGTAGCCTCTCCCGTTGCGGAGCACAGGCTCCGGACGCGCAGGCCCAATGGCCATGGCTCACGGACCCAGCCGCTCCACAGCATGTGGGATCTTCCCGGACCGGGGCACGAACCCGTGTCCCCTGCATCGGCAGGCGGACTCTCAACCACTGCGTCACCAGGGAAGCCCCTGAACCAATCCATTTTTTAATTTACGTGGAAAAATTCCCAGAGCTGGCCGGCCGGAAAGCACAGGAGTTGACTACAATGGTATTTCAGGACACCAAAGAGAAGGCAAGAACCTTCTGTGCCCCCCATCCAGAGCATGGAAAGCCCAAGCCCGCAAGTCACTGCTGGTACCCGATTGTCAGGAGCTGCTGACGAGCCCATCACCCACAGAGGCTGTTTCAAATCTTCACACTCTTTTAAAGCTCCCTTCCCCACTCCTGCCCCCTACACTCTCAGGAGACGACCCCACGTTCCATGTATCTCAGGGAGAGAGAGACCAGGCCACCAGGAGAGAGCACTGGCATCTTCAGGTGTCTCCTCCCGCTCTCCCTCAAACACAGCGACACCACACCGCCACTAGTGAAGTCGTGGAGAGATGTTCTCACCCTGCCTTTACTATGACATCACGTCACTGTCCCAGGGTCAGTGAAGGAAAGGACCGGAAAATCCATTAGGATGCAACTGGGAGCTCAATCCTGACATTATCTCAAATGAATCAGAGGAGGGGTGGGAAAGGAGCCAGATGGCAGGTGACTGTGGAGCGAAGAGGAGGCGCCACCTCAACTTCTTATGAAAAGATGGAAAAAGTACAAATACATACATGCATTTGTTTTCAGCGGGGATAGCAAGCATAGATGACTTTATTTTTCATGACAAAATTAACATATGGCAAACCGTACATATTCAAAATGTACAAGTTTTAACATGTGAATGTTAAAACCTGTGAAACCATCACCACATTCAAGCTAATGAACATCTGCATCACCCCCAAAGTTTTCTCCTGCCCCTTTATTTCTCCCTCCCACCACTCCTTACCTCAGGGGGTGCATGAGGACAGAAGCCTGAGTTTGTCCAACTTCCTCCTTTCCCTCTGACCTTCACTGAACTGACTGGGTTCAGGCCCCTGTCCTCCGCCCCAGCATATGGCAGTAGCCCCGATCTCCGTTCCATCCCTCTTGCTCACCAACAACTCCTAAGCCTGTCCCTACACACGACTCCCCCTGTTTAGATTAAGGTCAAGTCCAAGATCCTAACATGACCCTCAGGGCCCTTCAGGATCCGGACCGTGCCTACCCATCAAGCCTTATTTCCTGCTAAGCTCCCACAAAACTCAAACACCTGCCAGGTACCAAATATGCTATGCTCCCCAAATCCTTTCCAGTGTCTTTTCACAAGCTCTTTTCTTGGTGTGGAACCAACAACCCTAGACCCTCCCAGCCCTAGGAAACTCCTACCCATCCTTCTAAAATCTAGACAAGTGATTCTCAACCAGGGGCTATTTTGCCCTTCAAGGGACATTTAGAAATGTCTGGAGACATTTTTGTTTGTCACAATGCTGACATCAGTAGAGGGAATGCTACTGACATCTAGTGGGTAGAGACCAGGGCTGCTGCTAAACATCCTACAATGCACAGGATGGCCCCTACAACAAAGAATTACCCAGTCCAAAATGCCAGAAGTGAAGAGGCAGAGAAGCCCTCATCTAGATGCCATTTTCTGTGAAAACCTCCCTGGCCTGCCCCCCACAATGAATGCCAAGCTGTGTCGTCAGGTCTACCCTAATACCCCAAATATACCTCTATTTTAGCATTTATCTCACTGTGCGATAAGTTCTGATTTATTTTTCTCTCTGCCATCTTTTTCATCTGTATATCTCCAGCGTGTAACAAAAGACCTCATTCACTGTTCTGTAATTTTAAATAACTTATATTTAATAATGAATGAAAAAGAGAGAGAAAGGAGAGAAAGAGGCACTTATTCTCTTGACTCTACCACAAAAATCCTTTAAAAATTACTGCAAAACATTTTGGCTGCAAAAACATTAGAAAATACAGATAAGGAAGAAGAAAAAAACAAATAGAAAAGCAATCTTTTGAATAGGCAGAGGCACCATCTAAAGATGGAAGAGGTAAACTCCACAAAGCAAATCCAAGAACTCTGAAAGGTGGTGCTAGGAGTTTTGCAGTACGAATCCTGACATGTACCCACTACTTACTTGAGAACAGCAATCTCTTGAACGGTTATGGCCCTTTTATCTTTGGTTCCCATGTAGGAGAATATGTTTGGCTTGACTCTGATAAGACAAAAACAAAATCATCTGAAGTCATGTACCATTAGGAAATCATGCTTCTTATAATTTAAGATTTAAAATAAATATACTTAAAACCGTAATGGAATAAGAGAAGAGTAAGGACAAACTTTATTTTAAAATATACCCAGGAGGGCTTCCCTGGTGGCGTAATGGTTGACAGTCCGCCTGCCGATGCAGGGGACGCGGGTTCGTGCCCTGGTCCGGGAAGATCCCACATGCCAGAGCGGCTAGGCCCGTGAGCCATGGCCGCTGAGCCTGCGCGTCCAGAGAGCCTGTGCTCCGCAACGGGAGAGGCCACGGCAGTTAGAGGCCCGCGTACCGCAAAAAAAAAAACAAAAACCAGGAAAACATAAATTAGTGTGCAAGCTAAGAAAGTAAATGATGCCTGAACAATTGTAAAGCAATTATACTCCAATAAAGGTGTTAAAAAAAAAAATGATGCCTGAACAACCCCCTCCTTAGCTGTGTGTGACTTTTTAAAATTATTTTTTTAATTTAATTGTTGGCTGCATTGGGTCTTCATTGCTGCACACGGGCTTTCTCTAGTTGCAGCGAGAAGGGGCTACTCTTGTTGCGGTGCATGAGCTTCTCATTGCGGTGGCTTCTCTTGTTGTGGAGCCCGGGCTCTAGGCACACAGGCTCAGTAGTTGCGGCTCGCAGGCTCAGTAGTTGCAGCTCACAGGCTCTAGAGCACAGGCTCAGTAGTTGTGGCGCGCGGGCTTAGTTGCTCCACGGCATGTGGGATCTTCCCGGACCAGGGATCGAACCCATGTCCCCTGCACTGGCAGGTGGATTCTTAACCACTGCGCCACCAGGGAAGTCCAGCTGTGTGTGACTCAGAACATTTGTACTAGCCAGCAACAGAGAATGAAGTAATGCACTTCCTGTTGATTACATGCAATTCATTAATTACATAACTGTGAAGGTAAAGAAAAATACATTCTAGATGTATCACGTACCACTTCAAAAATTTTATACCTTCAATTTCAAACAAGTTAATAGTAATGTGAATTTTCCATAAATACATGCTATTTCTTTGTATAAAAGCCAAATGCTAAAACAAGGATGGGAATAGTTTTAATATGAAGATATAAGTGAGCCAGTTAACCAAGAAGAATTTTATAAAAACTGCTCCACATGAACAGGAAAGAAACGGGAAGAATTTCTTGAACTCTGAGCAATCCCAACTCCAGATCTCAGGGGAGCTCCCTCCCCAACTTCCTACTCTCCCAGGTTCAGGTACAGACAAGGAATCAGAGAGAGCGAGCAACCAGAGTAAAGTAAAATGCTACTTCAAATGGTACTATGTCCTATGGACTAAATTGTGCTCCCTTAAAATTCCTATGCTGAGGCTGTGACAGCCAGTACCTCAGAACGCAAGTGTATTTGGAGATAGAGCCTTTAAAGAGGTGATTAAGTTAAAATGAGGCCCTAATCCAATTAGACTCGTGTCCTAATATAAGGAGAGGAAACGTGGACACACAGAGAGACTCCGGGTCACAGACACACTCAGAGGGAAGACCATGAAAGAACACAGAGGAGGTGGCCATCTGCAAGCCAAGGAGAGGCCTCAGAAAAAACCAAGCCTGCCAACACCCTGAGCTTGGGGCTTCCAGCCTTCGGACTGTGGGAAAATGAATGTCTCTTATTTAAGCCACCCAGTCCGTGGTATCTTGTCAAGGCAGCCATAGCAAACTAACACACTGTGTGCTGTGTTTAAACTAGGTTAAATATATATCAGAAAGCAAATTTCCATGCATACAGATTCGCTATGGTACCTGTACCCATTTCCAAAAATAAAATGGCACCTGGCTCATCCTCAGAGACCCAAACTCTACTATATTCACATTCCTGTGAGAAAATCTGACTGGTGTCAGGTTTCCAATCTAGTCTATCTCCTGGAGTTAAGAGCTTATGGTTTAGTAGCAGTCCTCTGCAAACACATCAAAGTGTAGGCTTTCAGGGAAGAAAGTTAATTTTTATTTTCAGCTAGGTGAACTGGTAACTCTCAACTACATGTAAACCACTTACTTAAAGAATTTTCATTTTGAATCACTGGCAATATGCAAGGAGGTTAAAAAAAATTAATTCAACTGTTGTCTAAGAAAACTATAATTGGGAATTCCCTGGCAGTCCAGTGGTTAGGACTCGGCGCTTTCACTGCTGTGGCCCAGGTTCAATCCCTGGTCGGGGAACTAGGATCCTGCAAGCCATGCAGTGCAGCCAAAAAAAAACCTCCCAAAACAAACAAACAAACAAAAAAACCCCACTATAACTAGGAGGCACATTTGCTACCTATTTGCCTATTTTCCCACTCCCTTTTCATCAGCATGGAAAGAGGAAAATACACTTCTGTGTTTTGATTTTGTATGGGCAAAAGAACAAAATACTAACCTTAAATATTTAGACAGTAGATTAATAGCATCCATGGTGTCTTTGTTTTCCTTGTACAGTACAAAGTGGCAGTAACTTCCCCTAGATTTTGGCCAAGAATGTTTTCTTGGATCTTAAAAAAAAAAAAAAATTAACTATTATATACACCATAATAAAAGTTAGCTGAGTTCTTATGAAACCCCACAAGATCATTTTTGCTAGAGAACCTTTGAGAGAGAAATCAGATCTAGTCTGACAAGAAATATGGGTTAAGTGGTTATACCTTGTGGTCTACAGTTATTAAACTTTCTGTGATTGGATACTTATCTGTCTGTATTTAAAATCAAACTCGAGAAATGCAGGTGGTGTGACAAATGACTAAACCTAACCAGCAATCTTCACACAGAGAAACACAGAGGGGTCCACCATTCCCCAGTGGCTTACTTTATAAGCATGTGTCTGAAAGGGGGCCGCCTGGCCCTCCAAAACGTATGCAGGCCAGAGGGAAACAGCAGTCATGGCAGAGCCTACAAGCTTTGCCTCATCTCCCCAGTCAGGTGTTCTCACAACAGGCTGGATGCCCTAGCAGGGTTGGCGATAAAGCTTGTGAGGAGCTGCCTCAGTGACAAGTTCAGATTTTTCAAAGGCCACTTCCATCACAGTTTAGCTAATACTAGATGGTTTGGACAGAGAGAGCAGCTGGCATTCAATACCTAATTGTCATTCTTGGGGGAAGAGGAGACTTTAAAAATTAAGTCAGGTTAAATATTAACTTCTGAGCCACTGTTACGTCGATTGCTCAACTTTTTAGAAACTGGCAAACATTTCGAGACTTTGGAAAATCTGACTTTTAAAACTGTTCTTCCAAACGAACATTAAAATTACACTACAAACTAGAAACATATATTTAAACAATATTAAGATTTTGACTTCAGTTGCCCAAAGAGTGTTCTGAAAACTCAACACTTTGGGAGAAATGTGTAAGCCGCAACTGCACGTCCCAGATGTTGTACAATAACGTTTGTGAGTCTTGTGTGACACACAGCTGCAGCTGTTATATGAACGCATCTAACTCAGTTGATTTCTGTAACTCTATGAAAGAAAGACTGTGAAAAAATATTTCATATAATCCCCAGAAGTCTTCTTCTTTTAAAAATGTTCCTTTGTCTTTGTCCCTTTAGCATGAACTCATGAATCCTTCATCTTCAAAGACATAAGAAACTTCTGATACTAAAGTTACTTGTACACCTGCCTTTGCCAAGGGAAAAAGCACTGCTTCACAGGTTAGGGATATAAGCTACAATGTAAAGAACAAATTGACCAATAAGCTGTCTTGGAAAACTGCCATAGCGTGTATGCTTAAAGTATTACAGAAAAAGCACTGCAAGTATTTCTTGGGCTCTTGGTATGAATTCCTCACAATTCATCCTCAGAAAATTGTGAACAGGGATATTATTTTTGGTTTTCCTTCCAGCTCCCTACATTTAAGCAAAACTGTCTACGCTTAGCACTTGTGACAAAAATCATTGGCATTTCATTTTATCTACATGAAACGCCAACCGCTCTTACCTGCTGCAGTTCTGACCTCTGTCCAAATGCACAGCATAAAGAGCACAAGAGAGCAGTATTTAATTTATAATAATATTAAAGTGCTTTAGAAGTGAACATGCAAATGATCGCATGGAAAGTTTCTACTGAGGACTCCTACAGCGCCTGGTGGTTATGTGGTGGGTTAACAGCCATTTAGACATTAACAATGGAATGTCGCAGAGGCAAACAGTGAACAAGCAGAAAACTCACCGACAGGTACAGGCCTCCCTGTCTCAATCCCCTCACAGTGGCCTGTCCACTCACCCTCAAAAGCTGCACTGTCTGTGCCTACAGGATGTAGCAAAAGGTGTAAGACTGGATGCAAAGTGCCTCCCCATCCAGAGATTTGTTTTCTTAAATATGGGAGGACGTGTACCAAAACGCTACTTGTGATTTATCTTTCAGTTGTGAGACTGCAAGTAATGACTGTTTTATATTGTGCTTTTCTGTGTTTTATGAGTTTCCTGCACTGATTTATTTGAAAAAAATGCAAAAAATTATTATGGAAAACAGTTCTCAAACTGATAGATTAAAACAGATTTAACAGACTTACCCACCGAATGCAATGTTCTGACCTTGTTTGTATCATGATTTAAACAAGTCATCTGTATGCAAAAGGCATTTCTGAGACAGAGAAAAACTGAACATGCACGGGGTATGAGCTATTAAGAAATTATTGTTGATTTTGTGGGGATGTGATAATGATTTAGGGTTTTAGTTCTTATCTGTCAGATACATACTGAAGTATTTACGAGTGAAATGAAGTACTACGTAGAATTTTCTTTAAAAACACTCCAACAAAGGAAAAAAAAGTGGGAGGAAGAGGTCAAACAAAACAACAGAACATTAATAACATTGAAGATGGTTGATGGGTACACAGGGGTTCAGCATACTACTTCCTTTATTTGTCTGCATGTTTGAAAATGTCCATAATAAAAAGCTTTAAAAAAATTTGTGATAAAAATTGATGAAGTGTAGCTACATTTTCCTCTAATTACCCTTTCAGTCGCTCAAAATTAACTATAGTGGCAAGAAATAAATGAAACCACAAGATTAAAAAACTAAATGCTATTACACCTTAAGAGAAACCATGACAACTGGTATGAGTTTGGCTCACAAGCATGCATCTTTTATTAGCAAATCCAAGCAGTGAGCATGCATTCAATTACCTCCTCTGCAAGTAACAGACATAAGGATTCTTTTTCCAAGTGCACTCAGTACACAAACTAGTAATAAGCATATGCATTGATTAACTGGGAATGTTTTGAATAACGGACAATCGGTGAGTCTCAACTTATTTTGGGGAATTTGTTTGACTTCATAAAACTCCAAATCCTTGGAATGCTAGGTAGCATAGATGGTAGCTTTACAATTTAAGTGAATTTAAAATAACTTTCAAACATTTTTGAGACACTCTGATTTAAAATACGAATGCAAAGAATTCTCAGGCTAGGAAGCAACCTTCTGATGGTCTAATATGGCAGCCCCAGGAGAGGAGAAACAGAAACCAGATTAAAAAAAGAAAACCACGTTCAAGAAGATTCATGTATTGAGCACAGAGATCCTCATGAATAAAGAAGGAAAAATGTTTGTAGCTCGAGAAAGATGACAGGATGGGTAGCATGCAGAACATTCTTTCCTTCTTATTCAAGTCCATTTCCCCTGCTGCACCTGCACACCACCCTGCAGCTTCCCCAGGGGTTCTGCTCCAGCCATCATCAGCCCCCTCCCTCTCCACTGGCTCTTTCCCGTAGGCATATCAATATGCTCAGGACTCTTGCATTTTCAAAGTCAAACCTACGTCTCCCTCTCCTTAACCATGTTCCTTTCCTTTCTCCTTCTCTTTACGGTGTATTTATCATCTTCCATCTCAACCTACTGTGTAAACTGGTTTCCAGTCACTCCAGTAGAACTGCTCTGGCAAAGACACTGATGATCTCCATATTGCTAAAAATTGGTGGACATATTTCAGAGTTCCAATCTTGTTGGAACTGTCTGTAATATTTTCCACAGCTAACCACTCTATCATTGAAATCCCCTCTTCCTATGGATTGCGTTAACACCAGGCTCTCCCAGAAACTTAACTTTGTATCTGTCTGGCTCTTCTTCCTGAGTCTCTGTGGACTCCTCCATCTAGGTATGCCTCCTGGAAACCATTCATTTCGCACAGTATGGAGAATCTCTACATATTACATGGCACAAAAAAATTTTTTAACTTAAATCTTTAAAAAGGTTTTTGGGGATGTATACTATCTATCTCAAAATGTAAGTTAATTTACCTGAGTATATGGTTTATGATAATTATGGTATTTTCAGAATAATACCATATGTATGCTTTAGTAGGTAAATCAATGTGCCCTATCAGACTGGATTAACACACAAAATAACGTCTGAGTTACAACAGTTGGTAATTTGTGTTTGGCCACCATGATTTAGAATCTACCACACCGTGTTTTAGGATGCATGGCCCTATCTGAGGTAAAGAATGTTGCAAATCTGCTAGGACTTCCCTGATGGCACAGTGGTTAAGAATCAGCCTGCCAATGCAAGGGACATGGATTCAAGCCCTGCTCCAGGAAGATCCCACATGCCGCGGAGCAACTAAGCCCGTGCGCCACAACTACTGATCCTGCACTCTAGAGCCGGCGAGCCACGACTACTGAGCCCACGTGCCACAACTACTGAAGCCCGCGCGCCTAGAGCCCGTGCTCCGCAACAAGAGAAGCCACCGCAGTGAGAAGCCCGAGAACCGCAATGGAGAGTAGCCCCCCACTTGCCACAACTAGAGAAAGCCCGCGCACAGCAACTAAGACCCAATGCAGGAACTTCCCTAGTGGCGCAGTGGTTAAGAATCCGCCTGCCAATGCAGGGGACACGGATTCAAGCCCTGCTCCGGGAAGATCCCACATGCCATGGGGCAACTAAGCTCGTGTGCCACAGCTACTAAGCCTGCGCTCTAGAGCCCGTAAGCCACAACTACTGAGCCCGCATGCCACAACTACTGAAGCCCACGCACCTAGAGCCCGTGCTCTGCAACAAAGAGAAGCCACCGCAATGAGAAGCTCACGCACTGCAAAAAAGAGTAGGCCCTGCTCACCTCAACTAGAGAAAGCTCACTCACGCACAGTAACAAAGACCCAATGCAGCCAAAAACAAAATTAATTAATTAATTAAAAAAAAAAAAAGACCCGGGCTTCCCTGGTGGCGCAGTGGTTGAGAGTCCGCCTGCCGATGCAGGGGACACGGGTTCGTGCCCCGGTCTGGGAAGATCCCACATGCCGCGGAGAGGCTAGGCCCGTGACCCATGGCCGCTGAGCCTGCACTCCGCAAAGGGAGAGGCCACAACAGTGAAAGGCCCGCATACCGCAAAAAAAAAAAAGAAAAGAAAAACCTAAATGCAGCCAAAAATAGATAAAAATAAAAACTTTTAAAAAAAAAATGTTGGAAATCTGGTAGATAATGCATGACCCACCAGTAACAATTTATGTCAGGGTTTGGTAGTGAGGGAGCTCTAAAAACATTTTATCTTAGCTTTGCAATGAAGCTTTTAAAAGCTAATCCATTCAAATGCTTAGCAAGGCGGCCCAGGAGGATGAGCTGTCACTGGTATTGCATTCTGTTTGCAGAGGCACAAACAGCCGTCTTCAGGCACCAGCTCTCCCTACTTTCTGAATGCTGCTTACTTTAGGCCACTCCCAGATTGCAGGGGGGCAGGGGGGGCCAGATCTGTAGAAGATACTCATAGGCTCTCAGGTGCCCATCTGGGTCCATGAGGAGGTGGGCGGGAACACGCAGATGGCAGACCTCTAGTCCATCTCTGACTAAACGCCACAGCCCCTCGAGCCCGAGAGGTCGCGATCTCCATCCAAGCACTGATTCAAGTGGACCTGCCTTCATGCTTTTTACAGTGAGAAATTCATACTTTACTGAAGATGTGAGAAGGGAAATGGGTGGGGGGCAGCGGTGTTCATGTCACACAGAGCTCAGCACCTCCCTTGGAAAACAGGGAAATTTTTTATTTGGAAAAAAAAGAAAGGTGGGTGTGGAATAAGCACAGAAAATGCAGATAAAGACAGAACACGAGAGATATGGAACCACTCACTTGAGCGGGCAACTGTACTGGCCACCTTGGCCTGCAAATGCCAACATCACAAAAATGCTTAGGTCATCCTCTAAGATAGAACAATCATTTCCAAGAAGTAACCAGTCAAGAAAATAGAAAAAAAAAAATTGCCTTTTCCAATCTGCTTCCTCGTGACCAGTCGTCAGAATGAGACCCTGCCTCCTCTTGCCTTTGCAAGAGGGTAGCTGACCAACGAGGACTACATCTCTATAAAGAACACCTCCCTAGCAGCCCTTCTGAACCTGGGCTCCTCAAGAGAATGAAGACTGAATGCACCAAGGCATCTGCTTTGTGTAGGAAGTCACCTTCTCTCCTCCACAGCTAGATGAGTTACCAGCTACATGCCAATTGTGGGAGAATAGAAAAAAACAGCCATTCACATCATTTCCCACTGGGCTTAATTCGCCTGGACAACCCTGGCTGCAGAAAAGCTGTCAAGGTTATATTTTATTCTGTGACTCAGACATCAAAGAAACATCTAGTACCCAAGCCGTTAGACTGTGGATTGAGAAATGATTAACCATTTGTGCCCTCCATCATTATAGGTCACGATAAAAATAAAAATAATTAGCAAAATTTCTCTTATCAAATAAGGTACAAAAAGAAGTATTGAATTCCAACTCAGACCTATGCTGGGGCCTAGGACTGTGTTGTCTAATATAGCAGGTACAACCCACATGTGGGTACTAATCCCTTGAAATGTGATTGGTCCAAATTGACATTGTCATAAATATAAGTATACACTGAATTTGAAAGGTTTAACATCAATAACACAGGATATTTAATATATAATTTTTCATGAATTATATGCTGGAATTATAATTTTTTGTGTATTTTTATTTAAATAAATTAACAAAGTTAATTAAAAAACAACCACCAAAAAAAAAAAACTTGTGCCCTCAAGCAGTCCCAGAACACATCATCTCACTGCCCTTTCTGGTATCCGCTGAGAAGTGACATCCGGCCTCCATCCTCTCCGCCCCACAGCTCAAGGTTTCTCACTATGTCACTAACCAGACTTACTGATTTGATGACATGACTTTCTCAGGCACAGCTAAACCTTATTTCTGCTCCCATTTTTCTCACACCCTCTCCTTTCATTAGAACCATAGTTAGAGACAATTAAAGGCTTCATCCACTCACAGCATTAACCTAAGAGAAAACTGACAAAGCACTGATGGCTTGAATGCTCTTTTGTTATATAACAATCATCGAGTTTTACTCCAACAAATATACCTAGAAATAACTCTTCACTAACAGGTGTCATCGATGGTAGGGGAGAAGGTGAGGAAACAATTTTTCCTTCTGTAATTCTCATTAAAATTTTATCTGCTGATTTGACAGGTAAAAGAAGAAAAATTACCCAATTTTTCTTAAGGTTATGTGCAAATAGAAATCTTCATGGCTGGAGAAAACAGAACATAAATATCAACAGGATGCACTGACAACACACCCATTTCCAATGAATGCTACTCAGTGAAAGATGGGCTTGGGCGAAGGGGTGGTTTTCTATATATCCCACGTTTTTATGTGTAGTGAAGAAGGTACTCACGGTTGGAAAGCAGCAGCACTTTCAATAGAGGGACTTTGCAGAATATGCCACTGGGATAGATGACAGCAGTTTCTGTTCATCTGACAGCTTCCTTACCTCCATTAAGAGCACAGAATGAGCAATATTCCTTCCGTTTTCTTCTTGAATTGCCACTCAGCCTGCTCTGCTCTTCAGGGAACATGTCAAATTCCTAAGACTCTCTCTCAGGCACCACTATCATTTCAGCAAATCCGTGCTCACATATAAGACCTACTGTCCCCTTACCAGACACAGTCTGCAGGATTGCTCTGGCATCTGAAATGATATTATTCGCCTTCTTTGAAGGAATGACATGATCAATATCCTCTGAACAACCGCAAAATGACCCTTGAACATGAACAGTCAGAGAGAAGGAGGAGACGGAAGAAATGCCGAGTCACTAGCATACTTACTTGCCAGAGCCTTTTTTCCAGCTGCATGATAGGCTACAATATATTTCTTCCCCTCTCTATCTTCTGTTTTTGTTTCTAATCCTGGAAACAGAGATTTAATCGCTTGATGGATGATGGTTCTTTTCTCTTTGGTGTCCTCAATAACCTATTAAAAACACAGATAATGATACTACTAATTTGACAAACATTAAATAAGGAAATAATACTAAGGAATTAGTAAAAACACTACTCATCTTAAAAATGATGTGAAGTAACCAAAGTACAGGGGTATGATTTCAAAAGTCTTTTTTTCAATTATTTTTTTAAATTGAAGTATAGTTGATTTACAATGTTTCAGGTGTACAGCAAAGTGATTCAGTTATACATATATATATATATTCTTTTTCAGATTCTTTTCCATTATGGTTTATTACAAGATATTGAACATAATTCCCTGTGCTATACAGTAGGTCCTTGTTGTTTATCTATTTTATATACAGTAGCGTGTATCTTTTAATCCCAAATTCCTAATTTATCCTCCCTCCCCCCTTTCCCCTTTGGTAACCATAAGTTTGTTCTCCATGTCTGTGAGTCTGCTTCTATTTTGTAAATAAGTTCATTTCTATCATATTTTAGACTCCACATATAAATGATACCACATTGTATGTCTTTCACTGTCTTACTTCATTTAGTATAATCATCTCTAGGTCCATCCATGTTGCTGCAAATGGCATTATTTCATTCTTTTTTATGCTGAGTAATATTCCATCGTACATATGTACCACATCTTTACCCATTCATCTTTCAATGGACATTCAGGTTACTTTCCTATCAGAAATCTTTTAGAGCTTCACAATACTGCAAATCCTAAGGGCCCATTTGGGACTTCCCTGGTGGCGCAGTGGTTAAGAATCCACGTGCCAATGCAGGGCACACAGATTCGACCCCTGGTCCAGGAAGATCCCACATGCCGTGGAGCAACTAAGCCCGTGCGCCACAATTACTGAGGCTGCACCCTAGAGCCAAAGAGCCACAACTACTGAAGCCCGCGTACCTAGATCCTGTGCTCCAAGATCAGAAGCCACCGCAACGAGAAGCCCATAAACCACAACACAGAGTAGCCCCTGCTAGCCACAAGGAGAGAAAGCCTGCACACAGCAGCGAAGACCCAAAGCAGCCAAAAAAAAAGAAAAAACAGCCCATTTATTGACCTTGTACAGCCGCCAGGCACTGTACCAATCACTTCACAATCACTGTCTTACTTAATCCCAATCAGCTCCCTATCATGCCACCAGTATATCTACTTAAGAGATGAGGAAAGCGAGGCTGAGAGGAGTTAAGGAATGTGTCTAAGATTATATAGTTGTAGGGTGGAAGAGCCAGGTTTGAAATTCAGGCTGTCTGACTCCAGAGCCACCCAGCACAGACGCTCCCCCTTAGGGACTCGGCTGAACAATGAATACCTCAGGGCTCACAGATGGAAAAGCAGGTAAGCTGGGTCTTTGGGGATGTCAGAAACTCATTTCCCCGGATAGTCAAGTCTACTACTGCCTCCAATGAATCCTGTTCTATACTGAGTAACTTTATGATGACATTCTAGTACATCTGTTCACAAAAAAGAAAAATCTACACCAAGAAAATGTAAACTTATTAGTTACACAACTGTTTTTCAATTTCTGAGCATGTCTTACACTGAGAAATACATTTCATACTTGGAATCAATAGCCAGCAATATGTATGTGTCTGCTCCTTATTAAAAAATCTAACAGAAATTTACAGAACAGTATTTATCCTTACGATGTGCAATGCACTGTTACTTTCTATTTTATTACATTTTAAAAATGTTGGTGAACAAGAGCTGGTTCTTTAAAAGGGTAAACAAAAATCGACAAACCTCTGGCCACCCCACCAAAACTGAATCAAGAAGAAATAGATAATTTGAACAGACCAATCACTAGAAGTGAAATAGAATCTGTAATTAAAAAACTCTCTGCAAACAAAGGTCCAGGACCAGATGGCTTCACTGGGGAATTCTACCAAACATACAAAGAACAACTTATACCGATCCTTCTCAACCTGTTCCAAAAGACTGAGGAGGAGGGAACACTCCCAAAGTCATTCTGTGAAGCCACCATCACCCCATACCAAAACCAGACATAGTCACTATCAAAAAAAATAATATCTTTGATGCAAAAATTCTTAACAAAATATTAGCAAACTGAATCCAACAACAAATAAAAAAGATTATATACCATGATCAAGTTGGATTCATCCCAGGGTCACAAGGATGGTTCAACCTACGCAAATAAATCAATGTGAGGGACTTTCCATTGCAGGGGACACAGGTCGATCCCTAATTGGGGAACTAAGATTCCACATGCCACATGACGCAACCAAAAAAAAAAATTCCATGTGACATCAACAAAAGAAAAAACAAAAATCACATGATCATCTCAATAGATGCAGAAAAAGCATTTGATAAAATTCAATATCCAGGGCTTCCCTGGTGGCGCAGTGGTTGAGGGTCCGCCTGCCGATGCAGGGGACGCGGGTTCGTGCCCCGGTCTGGGAAGATCCCACATGCCGTGGAGCTGCTAGGCCCGTGAGCCATGGCCACTGAGCCTGTGCGTCCGGAGCCTGTGCGTCCGGAGCCTGTGCTCCACAACGGGAGAAGCCACAACAGTGAGAGGCCCGCGTACAGCCAAAAAAAAAAAATTCAACATCCATTCATGATGAAAACTCTTATCAAAGTGGGTATAGAGGGAACAAAACTCAACATAATAAAAGCTATTTATGACAAACCCACAGCCAACCTAATACTCAAAAGTGAAAAGCTGAAAGCCTACCCACTAAAATCTGCAATAAGGATGCCCACTCTCACCACTTCTATCCAACATAGTATTGGAAATCCTAGCCATAACAATCAGACAAGAAAAAGAGATAAAAGGTATCGAAATTGGAAGGGAAGGGGTAAAACTGTCATTATATGCAGATGACATGATTTTATATACAGACAACCCTAAAGACTCCACACAAAAACTACTAGAACTGATAAATGAATTCAGCAAGGTAGCAGGATACAAGATTAACATACAGAAATCAGTTGCATTTCTTTACACTAACAATGAAATATCAGAATGGGAAAGCAAAAAGACAATCCTTTGAAAAATCGCATCAAAAAAAAAAAAAAAAACCCCCAAAACTGGGAATTCCCTGGCAGTCCAGTAGTTAGGACTCAGCACTTTCACTGCCATGGTCCCAGGTTCAATTCCCGGTCAGGGAACTTAGATCCTACAAGCTGCACAGTGCAGTGAAAAAAAAAACAACACTGAGGAATAAACCTGACCAACAAGGTAAAAGCCTTACATGCTGAGAACTATAAAACACTGATAAAGGAAACTGAAGATGATTCAAAGAAATGGAAAGATACCCCATGTTCTTGGATTGGAAGAATTAATATTGTTAAAAATGGCCATACTACCCAAAGCAATCTATAGATTTAATGTGACCCCTATCAAATTACCCATGACATTTTTCACAGTCCTAGAACAAATAATCCTAAAATTTATATGGAACCATATAAGACGCAAAATTTCCAAAGGAATTCCGAGGAGGAAGAACAAAGCTGGAGGCATAACCCCCCCAGACTTCAAACAATATTACAAAGCTACAGTAAAACAGTGTGGTACTGGCACAAAAACAGACGCATGGATGAATGGAACAGAATAGAGAGCCCAGAAATAAACCCACACACCTATGGCTGATTAATCTTTGACAAAGGGGCAAGAATATACAATGGGAAAAAGTCTCTTCAGCAAGTGGTGTTGGTAAAGCTGGAGAGCCACATGTAAATCAACAAAGTTAGAACACTCCCTCACACCATACCCAAAAATAAACTCAAAATGGCTTAAAGACTTAAATATAAGACTTGACACCATAAAGCTAGAAGAGAACATAGGCAAAACATTCTCTGACATAAATCATAGCAATGTTTTCTTAGCTCAGTCTCCCACGCCAATACATATAAAAGCAAAAATAAACAAATAGGATCTGATCAAACTTGTAAGCTTTTGCACAGCAAAGAAAAGAAAAATGAAAAAACAACTTACCACCTGGGAGAAAATATATGCAAATGATGTGACTAACAACGGATTAATTTCCAAAATACACAAACAGCTCATATAGCTCAACATCAAAAAAAAACCCCAAACAACCTAGTCAAAAAGTGGGCAGAAGACCTAAACAGACATTTCTCCAAAGAAGGTAATACAGATGGCCAATAGGCATATGAAAAGATGCTCAACAATGTTAATTACTAGAGAAATGCAAATCAAAACCACAATGAGGTACCACCTCACACTGGTCAGAATGGCCATCATTAAAAAGTCTACAAATAACAAATGCTGGAGAGGGTGTGAAGGAAAGGGAACACTTCGACACTGTTGGTGGGAATGTAAATTGGTGAAGCCACTATGGAAAACAGTCTGAAGGTTCCTCAAAAAACTAAAAATAGAATTGCCATATGATCTAGCAATCCCACTCCTGGGCATATATTCAGACAAAACTAAAATTTGAAAAGATACATGCACCCTAATGTTCACAACAGCACTATTCGCAATAGCAAAGACATGGAAACAACCATAATGTCCATCGACAGATGAATGGATAAAGACGATGTGGTACATATAATATATACAAGGTAATATTACTGAGCCATAAAAAAGAAGGAAATAATACCATTTGCAGTAACATGCTTGGACCTAGGGATTATCATACTAAGTGAAGTAAGTCAGACAGAGAAAGACAAATACCATATAATATGTGATATGTGCAGTCTAAAATATGATACAAATAAAGAACTTATTTACAAAATAGAAACAGACTCACAGACGTAGAGAACAAACTTACAGTGACCAAAGGAGAAAGGGGATGGGGGGAGGAATAAATTAGGAGTTTGGGATTAACAGATACAAACTACCATATATAAAGTACATAAACAACAAGGTCCTACTATATAGCACAGGGAACTATCAATATATTCAATATCTTGTAATAAACCCTAATGGAAAAGATTATGAAAAAAGAAAAAAATATATATATATATGTAAACTGAATCACTCTGCTGTACACCAGAAACTAACACAACACTTTAAATCAACTATACTTCAATTAAAAAAAAAAAATGTTGGTTAAGCTACACTAAATTGATTTCATGACCCACTGATGGACTGCAACCTGCAAGCTAAGAAGATGTAACTACTACTAGCTAAACCTAACAATATTCTAGCAAAATTAAAAATGTAAAAGAAAAGTACACTATAATTATAGATAAGTGACATTTTCATATCAAAAAGTGAGCCAGGGAATTCCCTGGAGGTCCAGTGGTTAGGATACAGTGCTCCCACTGCTGGGGGCCTGGGTTCAATCCCTGGTGGGGGAACTAAGATCCCACAAGCGGCACAGCGCAGCATGCCCCCCACACACACCTCCACCAAAAAAGTGAGTCTACATCTAGAATTCACTGAAAGCAATGAGCTGGAATCATAATTAGTGTGTATGAATGAATACATATTCAGACCTCAAAAATTCAGAAAGTCCATCCTCCTATTTTTTAGATGAGAACACTTGCCCATGGTTAATACTCTTTAATGTAAAACCTTTCAGTAGATGGCATAACTATAATTTTTAAGGGACAGTAAATCTTGCCATCTCTGTCGGAAAAGAGTATTGTGGGGCTAAGATATGTATCTGCGTTGCACAAGCAACGGAAGCGTGGATCATCCTCCTAGACTGCTCTCAAAACCAATTCTTAGGAATTTTCTCCTTGGCATTGCTGGACATTTTGTCTATGAGTAAATTCAGTAAATTAAAGATCCCTAAAATTTTAACAGTACATATTTTTGGGAAATTTTGGTGGGTAGACGAGGAGATGAGGGTTGGAGGCAAATAATAAATTCTGAAAAGTTACAGTAAACTCTTTTTACCTGGGAGCAATGGAAGGAGAAATTTCAAACAACCCCAAATCCAGCAAGTCGCCAAAATACAGGACAAAATGAATTTAATAAACTTTAAATTCTAATAATCTTGTGCTTCAAGATTCTTAAAATCTTGTAACATATTTGCTTTGCTACAGAGATCACCTAGAGCTGCTCTGTTCCGTATGGTCATCACTAGCCACACGTGGCAACTGAGCACTTGAAATGTGGCTAGTCTGAATAGAGATGTGCTACCAGTATAAAATACCACTGGATTCTGAAGACTTAGTAGGAAAAAAAGAAAGTAAAACATGTCATTAGTAATTTTTAAAATATTGATTACATATTGAAATATTTTGGGTAAATAAAATATACTGTCAAAATTATTTGCCTGTTTTTACTTTTACATTTTTTTTGAAGATTTAAAATTAAAAACATAGCTCGCATCACAGTTCCACTGGACAGGGCACTTCCCTGGCCATCCAGTGGTTGAGACTCTGCACTTCCAATGCAGGGGGCGCAGCTTCGATCCCTGGTCAGGAAACTAAGGTCCCACATGCCACAGGGCACAGCCAAAAAAACAAAACAAAACAAACAAACAACAAAACAAAAAGAATCCACCACAATTCCACTGGACAGCACTAATCGAGAATAAAATTTTCATAACAAAAAGCTTTTTAAAAGGCATTTACTGTTCTATTTAGTAGCTGAGCTCTCTTTTTCTTGAATAGCAGAAGTAGACTCAAGATGAGCAAAGCAACACTCCCTTACCTCCTTCCCCCAATTCCTCCCCCTCCCAGAGTCCAATTTGAGACCACGAGGCCTTTGGAGCCAGGGCTTCCCTATCAGGACCATTGTCAGGCTGCGCCAGTCCTTTGCAGCAGACACTGTGTGATATAATGGTCACTTTGCAGTTCTAAACAACAGATTTCTTTGTTGATTTGTGGTCACATAAAAAATTTTTTAAGCAGAAACATAACCTTTTTTTTGGGGGGGGGCCATAGCTTATCTGGATACTCGTTATCTGCCACTGATAAAAATATTTTTAGTGCAATGCACTTTTAGATCAAAAAGGGCAAAGCCATCCTTTTGTTAACTACTGTAATTCTTCCAAAAGACATTTATTAACATCCACCCAACAAAAGCAATTCAAACCCTGGGGACTTCCCTGGTGGCCCAGTGGGTAACATTCCGCACTCCCAATGTAGGGGGTCAGAGTTCGACCCCTGGCCAGGGAAGTAGATCCTGCATGCATGCCGTAACTACAAGTCCACATGCCACAACTAAGAAGTCCACACTCGGCAACTACAGATCCTGCATGCCGCAACTAAGAACCGGTGCAGCCAAAATAAATAAAAAAATAAAATTAAAAAAAAATAAAATAAAACCCTAAAAAACCTTTTCATATGTTTTTGTGCTACTTACCTCGATGGCAACACTGGTTTCCTTATTTTTAAAAAGCTGGAGCTCTTCTAAACGCTGCTTTTCTTCAGCTGTTAAAACCGTAAATACATCTTCTGAAGGATCCTTTAAAATAACCATGAGAACTCCCAGTGAGTCACACACAGAATTCGAGGCTGTCAAAGCTCTATATTTCTATGATCTCCAGGAAAGGCTATTTTTATTCAGAAGGTGACTTCTGCTAGAGAGCTGCTCTTACCTCTTCATCTACTGGGACAGACAAGTCACTCAAATGGCTGATCTGTCCATTTTTTCCTATTTCGTGAACAACGAAGTCAGAATATCTGAGGAAAAGAAAACGCAAACTCTCAGCATTAACATTTTGCTGCCTATTAATTTTAGGAGAAAGTTTCTCAACAGTAAGCCTTATCATTGTGCAAAACAGGGATTAAAAATAAAAACCTTCAGTGCAAAGTCACGGAGTTATTGTTTTCTGGTTTCACAATGAATTCTAAGCCACACCTTGGCTTGGTATCAGAATGTACAGAAAAGACCCTCTGAAATTCTAGAATAGTCTTCCAGAAAAATGCCTAAATCAAAGCTTATTAATGTTGCCCTATGATTATACAGTCCATTCTAAAGTAAATCACAAAACACAGTAAATTTAATCAAATCAGAAGCCTGTGTATCTACTGTGAACCACCCGGAAGCTTACCTTTATGCTAAATACTTTACAGACATTATTTAAAATACTCTCAACAACCCTCAGGTAGAATTATGATCCAATTTTGGACAAGGATACTGAAGCTCACAGGAGTTAAGTAACTATGAAGTGGCTGAACTGGATTCACACCCAGATCCACCTGGCTCCAAAGACCACCTTCTTTCTCCTGCAGATGTGGCCCATTCAGGTGAAAGAGTTTAAGATTTCAAGATCAATTCAAGGGAAAACTTGAAACCATTTAAAGTAATATATTCTAAGGAAATAAACAGCACCCATTCACATATTGACAGGGGATGCCACAGGGAAATTGTTATTTAGTCATTTTATCTTCAGATAGTTTCGTTTACTCGTCCAGGCAGCTTTCCTTCATCCTATTCCTTATTGACCATCAGTGTGAACAATCCTTGGGGACAGAAAGCTAAATGGAAATGGAAAAAAGGACTGCTGATTTCTTTCTAGAGAAAAGAACTAATATAACTAAAACAACCTGACATAAACGAAACATACCTTTCTTTTAAGATTCCTGAGAATCCTTGGTGAGAACTCACGAACTTGGTGATGCCCACATCCAGCTCGGTGAGCCCGTGCTTCATCATGCTGGCGAAGCTCTCTGCCTCTTCCTCCTCCTCCCCCTCCTCTGAAAGGCCATCTTCCTCCCCCTCCTCCTCCAACTGGGGGTCAGAATTCTTTTTACCCTCTCCGGCCGTTTCGGGTGGCCCAGGCACCGTTTCACCGCTGGGTAGAGAGTTGTTCTCTAGCCCGTCTTGACCTTTGGTCGGACAGCATTCTGAGACCTTCTGTCTCTTTGCCTCACCTGGGGCCACACTGTCATTATCTTCCACGGCAACGGACCCCCGTTTCAATGACACACCCGTCATATCTGTCATCTCCATTGTCAAGGTTCCAAGAAAACATTTAAGAGAACCTTTTAGAAGCAAGAAAGAGCAGGCAGTAATAATCACTTCAATAAAGAATTGGGTTTCAGCAAATAGAGGCACATTTAACTTTGTTCCTAAGGTCCTAAATATCATTTATGAAAATAATTCTCCCAAATATACTTTTAGTGGCATAGAAAAATGGCAAAATATTTCTGCAGGGAATTTGACAGCAAAAGCCTTAAAAATATGGATGCCTCTTGACCCAGAAATACTACTTTCAGGGATTATCCTAAGAAAATAATTAAGAAAGTGCTTAAAGTTTTAACTGTAAGGATGCTCATCTCAGTGCTTTTACATTAACAAAAAATTAAGAACAATGACATCTAGGTACATAAACTGAACAACATGTAGAAACAATGTGAAAAGAAACCGGGAAAGGTAGTTGCTTCTAGGAGAGGGTGTAGGTGGCTGCGGAGAGCAGGGAGACTTGTGTTTACTGAATACCACAGTTGCAGCACCTGAGTTTTGTTTCACGTATATTGTTATCGTTTAGAAAAGCTGATTAAGTTAAAAGTATATAAATAAATTTACTAACATGAGTCATTTACTAATATGACTGATACCATGTCATTTTTATTTTTTTATTATTTTTTTTTTTTTTGCGGTACGCGGGCCTCTCACTGCTGTGGCCTCTCCCGTTGAGGAGCACAGGCTCCAGATGCGCAGGCTCAGCGGCCACGGCCCACGGGCACAGCCTCTCTGCGGCATGTGGGATTCTCACGGACCAGGGCACAAACCCGAGTCCCCTGCATCGGCAGGTGGACTCCCAACCACTGCGCCACCAGAGAAGCCCCATGTCATATTTTTTTAAAAAGCAAGGAGAATGGGGAGTTCTTTAATGAGTATAGAGTTTCAGTATTGCAAGATGAAAAAGAGCTCTACATATTGGTTCCATTTTTATTCAGAAGGTGACTTCTGAATAAAAGTACATGTGTATGTACTTAACACTAATGAACTGCACACTTAAAAACGGTTAAAATGATGTGTATTTTGCCACAATTTAAAAAATACAGATTATCATTTAACTGGCCCATACACAATGTACCAAGCAAAAGTCTAGGAAACCATATGCACTTCCTAGTATGGAGCACACACTTATCTAAGACCGCAAGTGCCTGTCTAATTTGATCTTATTTGATGCTCTTGTTGAAATAAGGATAAAGCTTCTTCCTATATTACCTATATAGGGAAATGCTAAAATTAACATACGAACTTGGTAAACATAAAGAACATAAATGAGCAGAATATTCTAGTTCTCCAAGGCTTGGTTAATAAGAAGCCCACCTACAGAGGCATCTACAGTAGAATAATAACGATGAACTAAATTTTAAGAATCCGGGGCTTCCCTGGTGGCGCAGTGGTTGAGAGTCCGCCTGCCAATGCAGGGGACACGGGTTCGTGCCCCGGTCCGGGAAGATCCCACGTGCCGCGGAGCGGCTAGGCCTGTGAGCCATGGCCGCTGGGCCTGCGCGTCCGGAGCCTGTGCTCCGCAGTGGGAGAGGCCACAACAGTGAGAGGCCCACGTACCGCAAAAAAAAAAAAAACCCACAAAAAAAAGAATCCATATTTGATCTTGCCTCATTGTCAAAAGTCAAGAATGGAAAGAAAAGTGAAAAGTGGAAGGCTACAAAAAAAAAAAGAAGAGGGGGGAGTAGAGAAAAATGTCAGTAAAAACAATTTCCTTTGAAAGACAAAAAAAAAAGACAATGGAAGAAACCAAGAAACAGGAACTGAAGTAGACTACAACTAGTTATACAAAATTATCTCTAATCCAAGTAAGAAAGCACTTACTCTTTATGTGTTCTAAGCAAGGTATAGTAAAAGAGAATGCTAGTTTATGAGATGCTGATGGTGTTTCATTCTCACTTTATATCAACGAAACTGTCCTCAGAGCCTGCACACCAGTGACGGAGGCAGGCAGGGCCCAGGGCTTCCCTGAGACATGGGAACACACAGAAGACCTCAGGGGGCATTGGCGTGAGGGGGTCTGAGAAGACCTCTTCCTAATGGAAGGCTAGATGTGAACACCCGAGTCAAGCTTTGGGGAACGAGTAAGAGAGAGGATGTGCAAAAAGCGGTAGGAAGGTGGTACAGCATGTGCAGAGGCACGGGAGAGCATGGAGCGCGGGAGGAACCCCACTGAGCTCACCATGCATCACGAGGGTAAAACACACATGCAGAGAACCTACACTTAAAGCTGGGGAGCTGGCGGAAGCCACACCAAGCTGAACTGAGGAGATTACATCCGAAAAAACAAATCGTCATCTGATGCATAAGTCAGAGAGATTTCGCGGTATCCCTTCAAAGAGAAAAACCGGGGTTAGGCTGGGAGATTAGGTAAGACGGCAACTGAGGTAAGCAATCAGTACAACCTGATCTAAGGCTGAGGCAAAGGTGACAGAAAGGAGGGGTGGATTCAGGGACACTTAAGAGGTGGTGCGGACAGGACTGGGTGGTAAATGTGAGAGGAAAGAGGAAATGCTACAGGATGACTCAGGTTTTCTGTCTCGGGGAACTGAGAGGATAAGGGGAGCTCTTCCTGACACGGGGACCCTAGGAAGAGGCATGGTGGGTAGGAGGGATATAAGCACACGTACAGTCCTGCGGTGTTGCTGGCACCTGGGGTACATTCCATGGCCACTTATTACACTGTGTCACACATATTCTCACCCCAAACCCACAATGGCTTCCCGACGCCCCAGTGGCGGTGTGGACCTCAACCAGGGGCTGGACATGTCCTGTGAGCAGCTGATGCGGATCCGCGGGCTTCGGAGGGAGCGGCGTCACTGCATTAGTGCCTGCACGAGGCCAAGAAGGCGGTGCCGCCCACAGAGAAGCCCCAGGTGGTGAAGAAGCACCTGTGCAGCGTGATCATCCTGCCCGAGATGGTGGGCAGCATGGTGGGCATCTACAATGGCAAGACCTTCAGCCAGGTAGAAATCAGCCTGGGATGATGGACCACTACCTAGGCGAGTTCTCAGTCACCTACAATCCAGCACTGGGGCCACCTGCGCCTCCCGGTTCATCCCCCTCAAACAGCCTGCTGGCCACTAAAGACACACACAGCTCTAGAAAAAAACGAAAACAAAAAACCCTCACAACGTTCCGAGCTGGCATGACAGGATCTACCAGCAGATCCCGATACCCTTCTTGAGGTGAGAAGAGGAGAGCACGGCCAGTAACAGCCACATCCGCAGCTGGGCTCAGACTTCACGGTCTGCAGGACGTCTACCTCCTACCCAGGACGCAGAGAACTCATCAGCCTCCCTCTCAACAACGTGATGGCCATAAGCCTGGATGGAAACACCAGTTACTTCCTCTGCTCCAACCTTCTGCTTCGGCACCATCCATCATCCAGCACCATATGCCACTATCTTCCACACAGGCCTCCGACGACCGAGGCCCAGCCCGCACAGGTGCCCACTCCCAGCCTGACCATTCACGGGCTCTCTCTTGTGGGAGGTCCTCCACACCTGTCTCAGCCCTGGGCTCCCTTGTCTTTTGAGACTCATCTGAAGACCACGAGCCCTGACTCCCATGCCTTCCCCTCTGTTAAGTCCATGTCTTCCCATTTTACCTCCCTTCATCTGCACTACCCATGTGGGCAGCCAGATACCATACTTTCCCTCACTACTTTCTAGCTGTGTAACTGGTCTGAGTAAATTACTTAATCTCTCCAAGCCTCTGTTCTTCAGCTGTAAAACGGGAATGATACGTGCTTCACAGGACTGTGGTGAAGATTAAATAAGATGACAAACACAGAGTGGCTGGCCACAGTAGGGACTAGATAAATGCCAGTCCCCTGTTCTCCCTCAAGAGGTCTGCAGATTCTTTGAGGACAGTAATTCTTTTGTGCCTGCCAGAGAATCCAGAGATGTATAATAAGCATCAATAGATATTTTGAAGAATTCTTGAAACAGGTGCCGAAACTGTTCCCCATCTACAGGTATCAAAGGCCTACTAAGTAGCAATTCCCTAATGAAATACTGGACCTGGGCAATGACATCCATGGCCACTAACATCACAAAAAATAGACAACCAGGCACTGCAGGCCGCTGAAAGGACACGCTGTTATCTATGAAGTTCTTACTGATTGAAACCCTATGTCTAACTACTAGTTTAGATGGCATACACGGACAGAAGATGTTAAACACCACCACGCAGAAGCAATTAGCAAAAGTGTGAATGTGCGAAACTCAACAAGGACCAGGACAGTCCTTCAACTAATAAACAGCAAGACAAAAAACAGGAAAGGGTAACGTACAGATAAACCTACAAAGAAATGCAATGGGTGGATCCTTCTTTGAATCCAGGTTTAAACAAATCAACTGTTTAAAAAGGTATTTATGAAACAATCAGGTATACTGAAACAGTAAGGATATTTGATGACATTGAGATAGCATGGGGCTTCCCTGGTTGCACAGTGGTTAAGAATCCGCCTGCCAATGCAGGGGACACGGGTTCGAGCCCTGGTCTCGGAAGATCCCACATGCCGCGGAGCAACTAAGCCCGTGAGCCACCACTACTGAGCCTGCGCTCTAGAGCCTGTGCTCTGCAACAAGAGAAGCCACCAGAATGAGAAGCCCACGCACCGCAACAAAGAGTAGCCCCCGCCCTCCACAACTAGAGAAAGCCCACACACAGCAACGGAGACCCAATGCAGCCAAAAATAAATAAAATTAATTAATTAATTAGAAAACAAACAAAAAAAAGTATCTTCATTAAAAGATAACATGGTCAACTTTTTAAGGTATAATAATATCATTGTGGTTACACTTAAAAGTAGAATCTTTGTTTTAGAGATACAGGATGAAATCTTTATGGTTGAAAAGATATGAAGTCTGGACTTCGTTTCAGAATAGTTTACCAGTGATGAATGAAAGTGCAGTGGGGTATAGATTTAAAACAAGGCTGGCCATGAGTTGATAATTGTTGAAACAACAATGGGTGATGAGAATATGGGGATGTCATCACATCATTCTCTCTA